CATTTGGGGACAGGTACGGCCCCGGAATGGGGAGTGGGGCAGGGGGCGAGGGTCCAAAGCGGGGTCTGGCTGTGCAGGTCAGTGGGAGCATCCATGGGCAATGTCCCCCTCACTGCCCAAAGCACTGGGGGGCTGTCCCCTCCCCGGAGCATCGCGTCCTCACCTCTTGGTGGGCCACGCATCCCATGCCGCAGCCACGGGGATTAATGCTGAGATGCCACAGAAAGCCTCAAATTTATTGTCAACCCCTTAACTGGTTGGACCCAAACTGCTGGGATGAGGAGATGCTCCGGAAAGTGCCTGAAATGCTGGTTTGGGGTGCAGTGCACTGGGAGCACTCACTTTGCTGTGCTCTGGGGGTTGGCATGGTCAGGAGTTGCCTTCAGACACCTCCTGCGGCTGTCGGGGGTTTATCAGGGGGAACCATGAGGGTGGCTGAGAGCAGAGCAATGGGGAGAGCACCGGGGTGGGGAGGGCTCGGGGGCACAGTCGAGGCAGGGAGGTGTGAAAATCCTTTGGTGTCATGGGCTTGAAGTGAATGGAGTGGGATTTGGGTCCCCAAAGGGAGGAGCTGGCATCCCTGGGGGTTAATGTCCGGCCTCTGTGCCTCTTATGGTGCAGAATTGATTGGGATTATGCCATGTTCTTCATGCCCTGAGCAGCCAGAGGGGAGCTGTGGGATCATCTTCCAGTCGATTGAAATCCCACGGGTCCCTCTCCCCTCCAGAGAACAAGATGCTTCTTCCTGATGGTTTATTTTGCATGCAACAAATTCCCAAATTCCTGGAATTCCCACTTAGTCCTGAGTTAAGCAGCAAGGGATGAGCAGTGATGCTCTATGGGGTTCCAGCTGTGCCAGAAGCAAAACCAACCCATGGCCACCAGTGCCCCCAGCTGCAGGGTGCAAGGAAATGCTTTTGGGGTGAATCTCCAGGACAGCCCCATTGACCCCTCCTGGTTTCCTTTGGGGGTGCAGAGCTCGGCGTGGGGCACAGGGAAGGTGCAGGGTGTCCCCCGCACCAGCGCCGCTCCTGACCCTTCCTCCTCCTCCTCCCGCAGCTGGGGGAAGACTCCGATTACGACAAGCTGAGCGATATGGTCAAATACCTCGACCTGGAGCTGCACTTTGGGACGCAGAAGCCTACAAGTAAGTACCTGAGCCCCAGAGCAGGTCCTGGTACTGGCCAGGGACCGGGGCACTGGGAGGAACTGGGGCTGGGTGGGGAGCAAGGCAATGTCTGGGTCCTGGCATCGCCTGCGGCACAGAATTCACCCATGCGCAGGATTTTGTGGCTGGTGGCACAGCAGATCATTAAGGTGATCTCTTCATGATCTCCCTTAATTCTCTTCACTGCCGCTGTGTGTTTTCTCTCCACATTTCAGTCGGTTGGGGCAGTGAAACTTAGCCGCGGGGTTTCGCTCCCATTGCTGCTGTCCCTGTGCCTGCCCATCTGTCCCCAAACCGCGGGGTCACTGTGGTGACAGCACCGTCCCCAGTGGGGCCCAGTTTGCAGGGACGGGCAGTGGAAGTGGGATGAAATGGGGTTCTTCTCTGGGGTTGTGTTTTTGGGGGTGTTTCTGGGCAGCCTGGGATTTTTCTGTGTGTCTCACCTCTTGTTTTACCTTTTTCAGCTCCAACTGAGTCCCCCATTGAGGAGATCTTTGAATCGCAGAATTCAAGGACTCCCAGAGCCATTGCTGTGTGCAAAGCATCACTTCTCCTCCCTCTCATTCATGGTTTCACTGTTTTCAGGACCGATTTCTTCCTGCTGGAGCCGGCTGAGCCTGTCCTTACCCATGATTAAATCTCTCAGTTTCTCTTCCAGAGCCAACTCTCATGCCTGAAAACTTTAAAAAGAAAGACGTGGTTGAAATTTTGTCCCACAAAAAGGCCTACAACACATGTAAGTAAACGTCGCGGTGCACCTACCCCCCAAAAAACAGGCCCAGAGGTGGGACCGGGGATGTAGAGAACTGGAAAGGTAAAAGGGAGGAGGCTACATGAGCACCATCCCATGGGGGTGATCCCATGAGCACCATCCCATGGGGATGATCGAATGAGGGTGATCCCATGGCAGTGATCCCATGAAGGTGATGCCATGGTGGTGATCCCATGAGGGCAATCCCAAGGCTGTGATCCCATGGGGGCAATCCCATGGGGGTGATCCCATGGGTGGGATTGAATGAGGGTGATCCCATGGGGTTGATCCCATGGGCATGATCCTACGAGGGCAATCCCAAGGCTGTGATCCCATGGGGGTGATCCCATGCTGGTGATCCCATGGGGGCAATCCCATGAGCACAGTCCCATGAGTGTGATCCCATAGGGGTGATCCCATGAGTGTGAACCCATGAGCATGTTCCTATGAGCACAATCCCATGAATGTGATCCCATGGGGATCATCCCATAGGCGCTATCCCATGGGCACAATCCCATGAGCATGATCCCATGAGGGTGATCCCATGGGGGCAATCCCAGCACGGCTCTGCTGGGGGGCTCAGCCCTGGGCAGGGGCAGAGGGAGGTTTTTGGGCAGGACAGGGATGGGATGTGCCTCATTGGCCTGGGGGAGGGCAGAGCTCGCATGGCCCCGTGGGGCAGGGTCGGTGCTTCCCCGGGAGGTGCTGATGGTGGAAGGAGGGGGGGGTGCTTGGTGGGACCCTGCCAGCCCCTGGGTCCTGGCCGAGGGGGGAGGAGGGGACGCTGGGGGTGGTTTCCAGCCCAGGCAGTGCCTTGGCAATGGTGCAATACCCAGGGGGGTCTGCATGGCCACAGTGACCCCCTCTGCAGGGCTCGGGGAGCAGAAAGCCCTTCCACCCCCACACCACGACCTTCCCCTCCTGGTCCCATCCCTCACCAGTCCATCCCAGCACGGCCAGTCCCCAGGTCTGGTCCTACTCCCCTCCCAAATGACACAGGTCCCTTCCCCGCAGCCATCCTGATAGCCCACCTCAAGCTGTCGCACATCGAGCTGCGCCAGATCCCGAGGACGATGGAGACGGACCGCCTGGAGCCTTCCCACATCAAGCAGCTCTTGCTGTACGCCCCGGACGGCGAGGAGGTCCAGCGCTTCCAGAGCTACAAGGAGAACCCCGGCAAGCTGAGCGAGCCCGACCAGTTTGTGCTGCAGGTACCTGGGGACGTGCTGCGGGTGCGAGGGGGGCTGCGTGTCCCCACGATGTCCTGCTGAGAGCTGGCGGGGAGCAGAACACGCACCAGGGCACTGCTCTGCTCATGCATGCGGGTTATGGGAAGAGCCGGTGGCACCGGTCGCTGCAAGTGATGCTCGATGTATCTGGAGCTCCCATGGAGGCTGTTTTAGAGCCAAAACACACCACTGTGTTTACTCCGTGAGTGACTTTGCCCAATTCTGGCTGACTTTCTGTTGGTGAAATATTGTGGCTATTGGGGGGAAGCCTCCCCATCCTGTGGCAGCAAACTGGTCATGCCCTGCGAGCTGCAGCTCCTCACAGCATCACTGGCACAAAACTAGGGAACTAGGGTTGTTTAGCCTGGAGAAGAGAAGGCTGAGGGGAGACCTCATCACCACCTACAACTGCCTCAAGGGAGCTTGGAGAGAGGTGGGTGCTGGTCTCTTCTCCCAGGTGATGGGGGATAGAACAAGGGGAAACGGCACCAAGCTGTGCCAAGGGAGGTTCAGGTTAGAGATAAGGAGGAAGTTCTTTACTGAGAGGGTCGTCAGAAGCTGGAACAGGCTGCCCAGGGAGGTGGTGGAGTCACCATCCCTGGATGTGTTTAAAGAGCGGGTAGACGAGGTACTTAGGGATATGGTTTAGGGGGTAGACAGGAGCGGTTGGACATGATGATCTCAGAGGGCTTTTCCAACCGAGCCATTCTGCGATTCTGTGATTCTGTGGAAATAATAAATAACACCATATATAGGGTTATGGGTACTGGTGACGGCGGTGGTTTTCTCCTCCTTTTGCTCTCAGATGCTGTCGGTGCCCGAATACAAGATCCGCCTGCGCAGCCTGCACTTCAAGACCACTCTGCAGGAGAAGACGGAGGAGATCAAAGCGAGCTACGACTGCATCTGCAAGGCCTCTCTGGAGCTGAAAAGCAGCAAGAAGCTGGCCAAGATCCTGGAGGTCAGAACGGTCCTTGCTCCTGTTAACAGCCCCCATGGCCCCCAGGGTCCAAGGGAGCACCCACAGGCAGCTGGGGCACAGCTCCAGCCCCACGGCTCTGCCCTGGGCCCCTCTGGTCCAGCTCAGCCGGGTCCATCCCCTGGCAGCGCCCGCTGGTATTGGCTTGTGAGGATCCTGCAGAGAAGGAGGATGCAGGAGGGCAGATCGGGAATGAATCCCCCTACAGCTGCCCCAAATTAGTGTTAATCGATTCGGGTTTGCTTTTTAAAAAAGCAGGTGGGATAAACGAAGACGTGGTGTGACAAATGGCATTTCCAGAGCAGAGATGATCCTCCTCGGTAGCTCCTGGCCAGTAATGCCTCAACACTTTGTTAGGTCCTTGGGTGGCAATGACTCTTGCACATTAACGGGTGGTGAATGGAAATTTTGAGTCTCACGTTGAAATCCCAGCGGTGATGAAGTCCCCATGCAAGGGATTAACGCTGCTGTACGAGCACACATACAGGACCCTGAGCAGAAGGGACCTGGCACTAAACAGGGCACTTCCCCACCCTCCTGTAGGCAGCGGGAGGCTTTTTACCACACCACATCACTGGTAGGACTCAGTGACCCAAGAGCGGGTACAAGTGGTGATGGGAGACGGGGCAGTCAGTGCTGGAGGCCACTTGCCTGGTCATGCCCTGAGGTTTTTCCCTTGCAGTTTGTGCTGGCGATGGGAAACTACCTGAACAACGGGCAGCCCAAGACCGGCAAGACAACAGGCTTCAAAATCAACTTTCTGACCGAGGTGAGAGGAGCTGCTTGTTCCCCTTGACCGTGCCCGTCCTTGTGCAGGGCTCCCGGGTGCTGGAGCAGGTTCCCTCAGGACTGGTGGGAGGGCAGGGGTGGATGCGCAGGGCTGAACTCAGAGCGGTCCCCATGTGCTGTGGTAACTGGGGTGCGATGGTGGCCACAGCTCACGGCTTTTTGGCCGTGGGGTGGGAGAAAATGAAGGTTTTCACCTCCCGGGGGGGTGTGTGAGTGGAGGACGGGGTGGCAGCCCTGCCCCATGGGAAGGAGGCGATGCCGAGCGTCTCAATGGCACTAATCCGGGCGTACCGTGCTGTGCAAACATTAACCGTGCTACTTAAACATTAATCCACAAAGCATGGCTGGGAATCGCCACGCACGTGAGCCCAGCGGAGCCCTTGGGTGCTCGGCAAAAGCCGCTTTGCCCTGCGCAGGAGCCTCCTCACTCGTTTTGCTTTGCCGCAGCTCAACACGACCAAGACCGTGGATGGGAAATCCACCTTCCTGCACATCCTCGCCAAATCCCTTAGCCAACACTTCCCAGAGCTCCTGGGCTTTGCCAAGGACCTTCCTACGGTGCCGCTCGCCGCCAAAGGTAAGCGGACAAAAGCACCTCTGAGCTTTGTGTGTCCTTGCAGTGTCTCTTGGTTCTGTACAGGTCTGGAACTGGGGAGGATGGGGGTAGGACGGGATGAGCTTAGTGACAGGGGGTCCCATCCATCCCATGCTGCCACATGGGAGCGTTTAGACAAGGCGCTGTCCCTGATTTCGACCCTTTTCTGCCTTGAAAAAGCAGCTCCCGAGTTCAGAGGAGCCTTGGAGGTGCAGAGGAGGCGCAGGACTGGGGAGTGCCAGGGCTGTGCTCCCCATACCCCAATCCATCCCATTGCGGGTGCCAGGTTATTGCTGCTGCTGTGTGGTGTGGGTGTGCAGCTCCCGGTGTGACCGGGGCCACAGTCCAGGCGCTGAGTGAGGGCCGTGCGGCTCCGGCGGCCGCGATAAGGAAAAACCCCATAGGTGTGGGGTCTCCTCACATGCCATCCCCTGCTTGTGAGCAATTCCCTTGGGAATTAGTGCTACAGGGCCCAAATGAAGGAGAAAATGCAGCTCTGGAGATGCAGAGTTACCCGATGAAGCTCTGTACCTGTGGCTTTCCTATGATTTCTTTATGTGGCCTAACAAACAACACTTCTGTCACCAAAAGCTCCCTGCTGCCCCAATT